AATAGCGTTCTGCACAAACAATACACGGATTACCTCCGCTAATGTCAGCACTCTGCGCTGAAAGAATACGGGGATTGATTGGCAGTGTCCAGCAGCTCTCCGCAGGTCGTAGTTTTATTACAGGCTTTTATAAGTTCGGTCACCCTGGCTATAAAATAAAGTCCCAATTCTCCGGCCCCAGCAACCCATTATTGCCTAAGACCAATTTATTTACCTCCAATGATGGCTTAAACTTTTTAACTCACAGCAATATACTTTTTAAAAAACACTCAGTAACTTTTTTTTTTTTTGGTAAAGTTCCGAGTTCGGAGACCCCGTCTACGAATATAAGGCCTATGCCTCCGGTACTGAAGCCCCTGGCTGGAAGTGGTTAACCCTGGATTTTTCTTGTTCGCTTTAGTTGGATTTTTAGCGAGATTTGTTAAACTGGTCCATATTGTTCACAAGCTAACAAAAATATGGCTGTAGTATAATGTTGACATAAATTTTATGAAACAAGCCTTCGGGGCCACACACAAGGTATAGAGTGTTAAAATACGTCGCGCTGGGCCAAAAAAATCCAAAATTAATACACACCTCCCCGGCGCAAATCCATCTTTGAAATAAAAACAAGCCTTGTCCATAAATTATGTATATGTTTCAAGAATGCTCATGATCGAAAAAATGTGCAGGCGTAGATGTTTGGGGCATTAAAAATACTTGTTTTCATTTATTTTTGTATAAAAAAATTTCTCAGCACGTAGGCAGATGAAGAAAGGAAAATATCGGTAGGCTTAAGTGACTAGGAGTTGAACTTTTAGCAAAACACTTCCCCAAAACTTTGTACTATGGAGAAACTTGTTAATGGGTAATTCCAGAAATTAGGGGTCCAAAAGTGTGACATTTTCATGTCCCTGTTACATCTGACCTTTGTTATTTGACATGGAAACATCACTAGAATTGTTTTCAAACTACTCAATATTTGTTTGGCAGGTACTTTGCATTAATTCATCACTCTTGGAAATTAGCAAATGTGTTCTGAACTTACAAAATCATATGTCAGATGTAACAGGGACACGAAAAAATGGACCCCTAATTTCTGGCATTACCCTCATAAAGTTGAAGGGCTGGGAAGTACATGTGCATGTAATTACTTTGTGCACATGGTAGTCCTTCAGAGTTAGGAGAAGGTGGAGAAAGAGTCTACGGTAAGCTTTAATTTTATCCCGGATCGGACCACATCCAGAGTAGCTGCACTCTTTAAGTCTTAAGGTAGCTAATACTTCGTGCTGCTAGGCAAGGCACCCAAGCAGGCTGGGTCACAATACAGCAACAGTGAATCTCGACAACGAAAACGTGACATGTTGGGAATGTTTAAAAGGTCCATCAATAATGACTTGGCTTGCAAAGAAGCCACATATTTAATTGGCTTAGAGATTGCCACCAACAGCCGGCGACGTCTTTCTAACATGTAGTGATATTTCCTAAACTAGGTGACCCAAAGCTGTTTGCAAAATCCCCACTGTTATAAATGAACATGTAAATACGTGTACACTGTCTACCATGACAATAGCGCTGTCAATCACTCCTAGGAAAAAAATTTTGCTCATTTAATTTTTTTTTTCTCAGGACATTCAGAGCTACAAGAAAATAAAACTCTCCCTCCACTTTTGGCTTAAGGGTATGCGAGTGAGTGAGAGTGACAGTGAAACAGCCCAATATAATTTCAAAACCCGGCACAGAGTTAAGGGAGCTGATCTGATCAAGATTTCACTCAATATCGGGGGTAGTTTAAATGGTCCGTAATGTGCTGCAAAACCGATAAAAATATCATCAGGAAACTTTCCTGGCTTTTTGACAGGGCTGCTAACTCGCACACATTTCCGAGAGAATGAACAAATCCAATTGTCTGGTTGCAGTCTTCGGTGGGCAAATGAAGTAAATACTGCAAAAAATAAAAAGGATTTAAGACAGTAGTCCCCTTTGTCGTTTTACTTGCATTGGCTCAACTCACATGTAATGAAGGAAACCTGTCTAGCAAGACTGAATAGAGTAGTGCACCGTAAGTACCATTCACACCACAAATCGTGTGGTGAGTCTGTTCATTTTCGTATTTTAAATTCAAGTTGTATAAACCATGTTGTTTATTATTTCACTGGTCTGTTGGTAACTGCTTTGAAAAAAAACCTGCCACATGGCCGACAGTATATGTCTTAGGCATGGGCAAGGTCCATTTGTTATTTATATAATATAAACGTGTATGCAAAAAAATCCTCCTCAGAGAGCACCAAACAATTTTTGTTTCGACCATGTCCAGTTCTTTGTGCAATGTTGCGCTTTATAAATTTCTTTGTTAGCTTGTGAACAATATGGACTAGTTAAAACAAATCTCGTCGAAAATCCAACTAAACCAAACATCAGAAAAATCCAGGGTATATGGAGTATCTGCCTATTTCATACTTAACAAAATGCCATTTCGCTTATGCTTCACAAATGAAAATACAAATTTCGTACTTTCCTTCGCGAAGTACATGTATTTCTCTCTTGCTATTCACGTGTGTACATGTACATGCAATATGCTCACATGATACAGGTTTGGAATGTAATGTGCAAGCTTGTGCATAGCAGTGGAAACGCAACGTGACAGAAAAATGAGCGGCAAAATGGAGTTCATAAGCCCGGCATTTTTTGCCTAGATGAAGCACAGCCCCCTATTAAAAACAATCACTCTGTATACAATGTATTTTCCGAATTCTTATCAGTGTTGATCTGCCATGCTAACAGTGGTGTTTATTCTTTACTTCAACAAAAAGGATATTGTAACACGAAAATCAACATGGTGTCCAGATCACTATTAATGAAATCAACTTAACAAAATCAAACATATTATTGCCATCGTTTTATTACATAAATATGGAGGTTGACCGATTTTGGTCGCTTGTAATTTACATTGTAAATAGGCATATTCAACGAGCTTGCTTGTGTTTCAGGGAGCCTGGCAGGGTTCAGTATTTGTAAAAAAATATATATATATATGAAAACTATTTTATTTTGGCAGAAAAAAATGAACAAAAAATGTTTAGGCCTAACAGGCATAATACTTTCATAGGCCACACTTGAGAATGTAAGATCACATGAACAGTTTTCTTCATCCATACTAATAAAAACTTACACAAGCATGTATATTTTGTACGTGAGGTAAATAACCAATAACTAATTAATTTCTAAAGGTCCCCCAACTCTTCTGGGTCATTGCACAGATAAGAAAACCGAGTAAGCCCGCCGTGAGTAAAGGTAAAATACTATCCAAATAACCAAACTTCTGCAAAACACTCGTCCACATAATTATCTGAAGCATCGGATTCATACACATAAGTTGGGGTCGCCAGCTTTAACATCGCGCAGCCAGCACCAGTATGGTGCAGTGGGCCGACGACCCAACTTGCCATACTGTTCCTTTGCGGACGTCTGAGAAATTTTAATGGAGATTCGTCCAATGGGAAAAATTGTTACGGGCCATGTGGAGACCAATTGAAACGGTCATTACATACGTGTGCCCATCGCCAGTGCCAACCCAATTACTCCATGTAAAATTTAATGATGTCAACTCATTTACAGATAAACAAATCATTCTTTTGGAAAGTTTGAATTGTCATTGAAAATACTTTATAAAATGTGTCGTAGTGGAGTTTGGTGCTGGAGGGAACATTTCAAAATGAACGTAGGCCTAGACGGTATCACCAGATTGGAGAATTTCAGAGTGGCATGGGTACGGTGTCAAGGTAAAAACCAAAAACAGAATTGTCTGCTGTCCCGAGCAAAAAGCAGCACATTGTTTGCCTTCTGTAAAACGGTAGACCTATTGGTTTGTAGCATATATCTGTAATCATACCGATCAAATCCAAAACTACACTGTATGCAGGAATTCAAGACCTAGTGAGTATCACATTTGCACAATCATCTTCATGATTTCTGAAAAGTGCCCTGTGCGCGAATAATTATTCACGTTAAATTCTTTGCGAATAGTGAAGATATTTTCGATCGGTAGGGTACATATGAAAATTAAATGGGAAATAGGAACTGGTTTTGTTTTAAATGGTCATCATAATTGTGATGTCCCTGAAACACACTCGCCCCCATATTAAAATAAAGACCCACATATCTGTTCCTGGCTCCTGTGTCTGGGAGGCAGCAGCAACCTATTAATTACATGTACTTGGCTTCTTTATTTTACCCTGTCTGGTGAGTTGAACTCAGATATCAGGTGTCAACTTTTAATAGAAAAATGCCCTATATTAAATATTCAAATAAACTGCAATTAGGGGAGGGTTATGATTCCCTACAACCTTGCGAAATAATTAGATCTTTCTTTAGTTTACATGAAGAAGACGACCACTCAAACTGTACATACTGTGATTTTTCCTTTTTCTTGTATTTTTCTTTCCTCACATTCCTTTTATTGTGATCGCCCTATTTATGAATATTTGGAGACTGAATTAACCATACACATGAACACCCTCAGAGTGCCAGTCTGTTTCCTGAGAAGAATTACTTCTTCAACCCCTGGTGGCGAGCTACCATAGCCAACCCACCAGGTCTACAACTCTCGGCTCCCGACACAAAGGTGCATGTACAAATCACAAATGACACGTATGATCATATTCATAAATAATTCTACCACCCTTGGACCAAGAAAACATCCACATACAAACAAGTAAGCATTTGCCTACAACTGGGGGCCCCCTATTGTTCCTCTTTTGTTTGTACTTTAACTTTTTTAGAAGACCACCCATATGTTTTGCACACAGTTGTCAATCGGGGACCCTCTGTCAATCATGGACCTTATTGTTCTCTACTGTGCAGGGTCCCCAATTGAATGCAGAAACAAACTTACACACACAGAGCACATGAATCTGATCATACATGTACATGTAAATACAAACTTGCATGAGGCATACACTGTCCATTCATGTACTTGAACATGTAATACATGTACATGTAAGCTTCAGATAATGTTTCACCTCCTTCAGATTGTCTGCACTTCCCCATGATGACGATCTCTTGTGTGATGAACCTTTTCTTTCTATCTCCTCTGTCTGTAAAATCAAAGAAAAATTATGGCAGGTAAGTCTTCACGAAGTTTTATCATTGATTTGATAATTACAGACACTGAGTGAACCAATGGCAAGTTACTTCAAAGTGGTCCTTTTTGGGGGACATATGACCGTGTTGTGGTCATTCCATGGGCATCACAAGGGAGGGTTGGTTATCATCCAAGAACTAGAGTGGTGAAGCCACCATGGCTCGCTGCTTCATATGATCTCAATTTCTTTTCAATACCTCAAAAGTAGCTCAAATTAAGAGTCATCTATGCAAATCCTTCCCCACATTAAGCGTGGGTCAGGTTTACTACAGAATACCCACCCAAACAGTCTTTACATATGTAAATTTCCCATGCGCATGTTATTCATTCATGGAAAAGATTTGATCACCCATGGTGCACCCTGACCTCCCACAATGCAGCACGGCCTGGCCACCATGATCGTCTTTTTCAAAGCGACTCAAAATGGTCAGAACCAGAGTGGGGAGGATGGACGGGAGAGGACTGTTTGGGTAGGTATTCTCTAGTAGACCCGACCCCCACGTAATGTGGAGAAGGAGTCTACGGCACTCTACCTACCCAAACAGTCACTACATATGAAGAGTAGCACTGGTCTAGGTGGGGGGTTGGTGACGACACATCTAATGCTGAGAATACACTTTTACATATAGACAAGGATGAAAGTGAAAATTTAAGAAATGGTAAAGGAACTTCATAATGACTTGTCGTCCGTCCTTCAGGAGGTCCCTTTGACCTCTGCGCTGCAGACAGTAGGATTGTCCTGCCATTTGCTATGTCCCTCTGCAGGACATCCCTCAAGTTGCAGGAGGTAGGAGACTTCCAACATGCAATTTTGCAAATGTTTGCAATGGAAACATCTCGAGAGTAAGACTGAGATGCAGATCCTGCTCTTATGCCATGAACCCTGATGTAGTAATGACTATGTTCATCAGAGCTTAATGGCCAGACTGGATTAGCAAATCTAATGGCCAAAGCTGTTCAGCAGGCAATAGTGTACTGACACCATTGAACGGTATGGTCTCATGAAAGTGGTAAGCGATGGGGCTAGTATCGTCCCTTTCATGCTATTCTTTTAGTCAGGTACCACTTCAGGATATGAACAGCCCATCAAAGTTTATCAAAATCGTCCCCAGGATGTAAGGAGGCGGAGAGTGTAAAGATATCGGACGGATCAGGTGAGGGAATATGGTCCTTCGTCAGGAAACCGATCAAAGGAAAGAGGTGAACATCATGAGGCTCCCAACATAGATGGCCTCCGGCAATGGGGAGAGCCTATAGTTTGCTGTCTCCTCAGGATGTAACCATTTTCAGAAGAAAGGGCAATCTGACACCGGTGTGTAAGGCAGGCATTATTTAGGGTTCAAAGGAAGGACCACAAAGTATCTAGAGAACCTAGCTTAGGTCTTATGACCAGACTAATTTCCCAACAAGGGGACACTGGATAAGCATATCACACAAAGGTGATGGAATGTCTGTTGTTGAGGGCAGTTAACCGATTTTGAATCCAATGTGTATGGCAGCTAGGGCTGACCTGCAGATATGAGTTGTAGATAAAGTCGAACCTTGTTAACAAGAGCACTGTTAATACAAGAATCTATTATAGCACTCACAGCGTTAGCTAGAGCCAAAGCCTGACTATGGATGCACATAACACAATGCTAAAAACTGCTGTCACAAATTTGAAAGGTGGGCAGATGACGGACCATGTGGTTGGCCATGGCCGAAGCATTGCTAGAATTGCTAGAAAGTCCCGCTGAAGAGGAAGATTATTGGAAGTTGATCACTGTTCAAGGAAGCAAAGAGATCGGTGTAAGGCTGCTCATCATCCCGGGGAGAGTGCATCCACCACACTGTAAAAGGTTAAAAATTTCAGGTTGATATTTTACCTAATGTTGGTAAAAATATCAACTTAGCAATCTCTGAGCAAGTTCTTCCTAATTTTTGGTCAATGTTTGACCAAAGGTGACAGAAAATTGAACAACAATGTGGTAGCTTTAACCAAGGTTGGGCAAATAACAAATGCCCAACACTGTTTTGACCAATTTTTTTTTTTACAGTGCACTACGTCATCAGACCCTGCCATGTAGATCATCTGCAGGTCAACTGCATGATCCTTGTCCTTTCCATTAATTGGATTTGGTTGGCAGTGTGGGAAAAAATAAAGAAGCAAGAAAGCCAAAAGACATACTCAAAGACAGAGATGACATTATCATTCAGAGCCTCTAGCATGACTGTAGTGAGGTCCGAGCGGAAAGGAGAACTCTCCTTTCCCATCAATGGAATCTACCTTGATGAGAGGGGAAGAAATGTAATACGTGTAGGTCAGAGACCAAGACAAAGACTTCATGTAACTAGATAAAGTTGGTGTCAGTCTTTATTGAGCAAGGATTTCCTAACAAAAAGGCTTGCTTAGTCAAATGCATAAGTTGTCTTTAGCAGCAGTGTATAACACCTGACCATGCAAAAGGGTGTCAAAGACGTTCATGTCAAATTGAAGGTAAGCCATGTTCCATTCCCAGCGAGGCCGCTGGCGTCCCGACTGTTACAGAAAACTTCGATCATTTTCATGCATGCGTGAAAAATAATGGCTGGCGTAGAGGAGTCAGGTCGCATGACATTTGCAATATGGATAAAAGTATGAGTGTCCACAGCAACTCACTCCATGAAAATACATGATTACCTTGACTGGGCGAAATCCTTGTGATTTCCCCTCAAGGAAAATCCCCACAGACAAAAAACAGAACAAAACTATTTTGATGTCCGAAATCATGCTAAGCACTAACAAAGTATTCACTTCAGAAATGAACGTCAACCTGGAAAAATGGGCAGTGACTGATGTTCATTGAAGAGGGCGGCCAAAGAGCTCTCACAATACATGTATAGTCGAAGACAAACAGGATGAGCATTTATAATATTTATAATTTATCATACAAAGTCATATTTATGACAAAGAAATTTTTTAAAAAATTCATTTATCTTCCCATAACTGATAACATAGGGGATTTGTAAAGTTCCAAGGACCCTGTTATAACAGTGTTCCACTGTGTTCAACAGAGTAGTTGTCTCCAAGACATTCTGCTTGAAGGCCCTAGATAAAGGGAAGGTGACAAGCAGACGTCTGGGGCCGCTCTGGCCTTACAAGGGGGAGCGGTCTGCTAAGGTGAAGAGCCTACTTCACGAATGGGAGCCCTGTAGCAAGAGTATCTCAAGACGTGGGGCAGTCACTTGACTGGCACGGGCGTGGTCGGTGTCTTCCTCCGAAAGGGAGGCTGACGGAGGATCCAGAATCTGGAATGTGTCAAAGGTGGTGAGGACGCCAATAAAATCAGTGTCATCTTCAACCAAAGACACAGTGACTCTTCTATCTCCTCTCCATGGATAGGCTCTATGGGCGCAGATCTTGGCTTGCTGATGGTTAGAGTGTGTTCATGTGGGTGGCTGTGTACTTCAGCCAACACCTCCAATAAACACACCCTCAAACAATGTTCGCACGCTTATTACCAAAATTAATATTAAAGCCTAATGAAGTACTAAAATACAAATTTGTATAATGTCTAAGAAACTAAGTAAATAAGCTACACTACTTGATACACATACGAATAAATGTCACCTAGCCTACAGTCAGTTATGGGCCGAAAACAAGTACAACCACACACTACAACAGTAGAAGATGCAATGGCTCCTAAAGCTACATGCACTACTGGCTACATACTAAGAAGCCAGTAGCGGCCACTCAATTAGCCACTTGCGAGTTAAATTTGAATAAAATCTGGTACAATGATTGCATAGAAACCAGACTAAAGACACTGTTGCTTTACCTCGTGATTCGGTGCAAGCTTTTGCATAGCGACCACCATCTCTGGAATGGACTGGTTCCTTTGTGCCATTCTTATCCATTGAGAACAGTGTATTGTTGCAAGGCGTCTCCTATGTAACTAAGCAAAAGCCTGCCCCAAATCACGAGGTATAGTAACAGTGGTTTTAGTATGGAGAATTCAAGTTGTTATGTTCACATTAATTTAAAGAACTCGGTGTACCAGATTTTATTCAAATTTAACTCGCAAATGGCTTATTGTGAATTTAACAATACTGAAGGAATGCTATAGACAAATTTGCATCTAGCAAGACTAGGGTGCTCTATTTACAAATAGGGGTGATAAAACTCCTGTACACTGGCATGATCTATTAACAAAAATGGGGGATCAAAAAGGACACTACAACTTTGCTTCCACTGAAGTAAGGCTGTCTATAGTCAGGGTGCCCGTAGACAAGTGGGTAGTTGAGCAGAGGACCATCAGGTTGGAGTGGACTTGGACACGTGCCAAGTTCTGGCTAGAGACTGGAATATCACCAAGCGTGAATGATCAACCAGGAGTTGGGGAAAAATTGGCCGGGAAGATTCCAGTCATGCTATGTCGTTTAAACAAGTTGTGGCTGATGTCTTTCTCCGAATAAGCGGCTAATGGCAGGCCGAGCACTTGAATCATGTCTCACTGAAGAAGACAGAAGCAGCAATCAGACGGAGTGAGGGCCCTGATGGAATCAACTTTGTTCTTTTCGGAAGACAATGTTGGCTGTTTGGTCGGGGACAGGGCAGTGTCTCGTTCTGAGCCAGCCCCATGGAGAGCAGCCTGCTCCCAAAGGAGTACGCCCAGCTGGTGCGATTCTGGTGTGGAACCCTGCCCGATGTTACCATGTCTCGCGGCCGGAGAGGGTGGAAGGGCCTGGTCTGCCAGAAACAAATCCAGGGTGACGGTGGTCTAATGCCAAGGTGGTGAGCGATGGAGGTCGGAACTTCATTGATGGGTGCGTTCCCGGTTGAGGCCAATGAGAACTGCAGAATTCCAGGCAGCGGGACCAGGAAAAATGAGGTCCAATGACCCGGTGATGCCAATTAAAAGCCCAAGCCGCAGAGTGCTTGAAGCACCCTGTAGTGGGCGGCCCGGCGGCGGAGGTGGCAGCCAGGGCCACGAA